TCCTCGGTATATTGTTGTATTCGGTACATTGGTGCACCGAGTTCTACGGGAATAACAGCTTCAGATCCATATGTTAAAGAAAACGGAGTTTCGCCTGTAGAGGTTCGAGCAGTTGTTCGATAAGCCCATAAAACGTGAGGTAATTCTTCGGGTCATGCTCCTTTAGCTGCACCGAGTCGCACCTTGAGACCATTGTTTATAACTTTGTTTATAGCTTCGACTTGGCCATTGGATTGGGGGTGATACGAGGAAGAGTAGAAATGTTTTATCCCATATTCCTCGCAGAAGGACTCAAGTCTTTTTCCTTCAAACTGCCTGCCATTGTCGGTAATGATGGAATTTGACACCCCGAACAAACATACTAACGACTTCCATATGAAATCAATGACCTTCTGCTCGGTTATTGTGGCCAATGGTTCGACTTCGGCCCATTTCGTGAAGTAATCAACAGCGACTATGGCAAATTTTACTCCACCTTTTCCGGTTGGTAATGGTCCAATTAAATCGATCCCTCATTTAGCAAAAGGCCAAGGACTGTAAATCGACTTGAGCATCTCGGGAAACCGATTGACGTTGAGTGCAAAGATTTGACACTTCGGACATTTTCTTACCCAGGTTACAGCATCCGACTTCAGAGTCGGCCAATAATAGCCTTGTCGTAAGATTTTATAGGCTAAAGCTTGGGCGCCTGGGTATGTTCCACAAATTCCCTCGTGGACTTCTTCCAAAATATATTTGGATTCAGGTTCAACTATGCATTTTAAGAGTGGAACCAAGTATCCTCTCTTGTACAGTATTACATTCTCTAAGATGAATCGAGCAGCTCGAATTCGGAAGGTCCGAGCTTCTTTTGGATGTGAGGGCAGGGCTCTAGTTTGCAGGTATTCAATAATCGGGTCCATCCACGTCGGAGATTTTGATAATGTCGCCACTTCGGTCGCCAATATCTCCGGAATATGGGTTGATGGCTGTTCTTGTTGTCCGACTTGAACATAATCTACACTTTCCATTCCGACACTGGAGGCTAATCGTGAAAGAGCATCTGCTTGAACATTGAGAGTTCGTGGGATGTGTTCAACTTGGACAGAGAACATCGATAACTTCTTCTTGGTAAGGGATAGATAAGGCACCAACCGAGGTTCTTTAACTTCAAATATTCTGTTGATTTGGTTGACAAGCAGTTGAGAATCGGAAAATACCTTAAGATGTCGGACGTTCATAGATTCAGCCAAGCTTAGTCCAGACAACAAGGCTTCATATTCTGCTTCATTGTTTGTCGCCGGAAAAAGGAATTTGACCGAGTGGCAAAACAATTTGTTTTCAGGATTTGCTAAAACAATTCCTCCCCCCGCTCGGTTAGCTGTAGACGAACCATCGATGTAAAGGATCCAGGGTTGATTATCATTTTGGACCTCTAAAGTCGGGGTAAATGCAACAATAAAATCGGATAAAGCTTGTGCTTTGATAGCAGTTCTCAGTTGATAATGTATATCAAATTGATCGAGTTCCACAACCCACTTAACCATTCGTCCCGAAGTATCAGGTCGGTGTAAAATTTGTCGCAATGGATATGATGTACGAACAGTGATTGAATGCTCCTGAAAATATGGCCGTAGTTTCTGAGCAACAACAATGAGAGCAAACACAAGTTTTTCCAGAGGAGGATAACACAGCTCGGCGTCATGTAGAGCTTTGCTGACATAATATACTGGAAATTGCGAGGTTCATTATGTTGGGTTCGATATTCAGAATTTTAAAAATTTTATAAGTATTTATCTCATAAATACTTATTCCGTACATAAGTATAACGATATAACGTATAAGCATCATTTAAAATCTAGTAACATTTACTAATTT